GCTTTTTCGCATTCGTCTTTTGATTATTCGGCGGTTGTCGCGCGGCGCCCGCGGCCGTTTCCCATTGGTTTTAGATTATCCGGCAGTTGTCGGGCGGCGCCCTCGGCCGTTTCGCATTGGTTTTTGTTGATTCGGCGGTTGTCGGGCTGCCCCAGGCAGTTTCCTTTTTGTTTCTGATTATTTGGCGGTTGTCGGGCGGCGCCCATGGCCATGTCCTAATATTGGTTTGATTATTCGGCGGTTGCCGGGCGGCGCCCATGGCCGTTTCGCGTTGGTTGTTGCTGATTCTTCGGCGGCTATCGGGCGGCGACCATGGCCGTTTCGCATTCGTTTTGATTAATCGGCGGTTGTCGGGCGGCGCCCATGGCCGTTTCCGGCGGGTTTTTGGCAATTCGGCGGTTATCGGGCGGCGCCCATGGCCGTTTCGCATTGGTTTTTGATTATTTGGAGGTTGTCGGGCGGCGCCCATGGCCGTTGCCGATGGTTTTTGAGTATTTGGCGGTTGTCAAGCGGCGCCCATGGCCACGTCCTAAGATTGGTTTGATTATTTTTTTTTTGTGCCGGGCAGCGCCCGCGGCCGTTTCGCATTGGTTCTTGCTGATTCGGCGGTTGTCGGGCGGCGCCCGCGGCCGTTTCGCATTGGTTGTTGAGGATTCTTCAGCGACGATCGGGCGGCGCCCATGGCCGTTTCGCATTTTTTAAAATAGTTATCTTTCGGCGGTTGTCGGGCGGCGCCCGTGGCCGTTTCCCGCGGGTTTTTGGCAATTCGGCGGTTATCGGGCGGCGCCCATGGCCGTTTCGCATTGGTTGTTGATTATTTGGAGGTTGTCGGGCGGCGCCCGTGGCCGTCTCCGATGGGTTTGGATTATTCGGCCTTTGTCGGGCGGCGTTGATGGCCGGTTATTATGAGTTCTTGTGCAATTGGGTGGTTGTCGGGCGGCGCCTCGGCCGCGCTTTCTTCTCTCCATGATTCGGCGGTTGTCGGGCGGCGCCCGCGGCAGTTCATGTTGGTTGTTGCTGATCCTGCGCTTGTCGGGCGGCGCCCATGGCCGTTTCCTATTGGTTTTTGATTATGCGGCGGATGTTGGGCGACGCCCTTGGCTGTCTCGCATTGGTTTCTGATTTCTCGGCCGTGGTCGGGCGGCGCCCATGGCCGTTTTTGGCTGTTTTTAATTTCATTATGATCATTATTCGGCGGTTGTCGGGTGGCGCCCATCTGGCAGTTGCGCATTGTTTTTTGATTGTTCGGCGGTTGTCGGGCTGCGCCCATGACCGTCTCGCATTGCATTCTGATTATTAAGCGGCTTCCTGGCGGCGCCCATGGCCGTTTCTCTTTGATGTTTGATTATCCTGCATGGCAGTTCCCGATGGGTTTTTGATTATTCGGCGGTTGTCGAGCGGCGCCCTCCTTGCAGTTTCGCGTTGGTTTGTGATTATTCGGCTGTTGGATGGCGTCGCCGTGGCCGTTTCGCATCGGTTTTTGATCATTCGTTTGTCGTCGGGCGGCGCCCATGGCCGTTTCCTAATCGTTTTTGGCTATTCGGCGGTTGTCGGGCAGCGCCCACGGCCGTTCTGCATTTGTTTTTGATTATTCTGTGATTATCGGGCGGCGCCCTGGCCGTCAACAACGCTTGGTATTTGTTTGTTCGGCGGTTGTCGGGCGGCGCCGTGGCCGCTTCCCATTGGGCTCGATTATTCGGCGGTTGCCGGGCGGTGCCCGCGGCCGTTTCGCATTGGTTTTTTATTATTCGGCGGTTGTCGGGCGGCGCCGCGGCCGTTCCCCATTGGTTTTTGATTATTCGGCGGTTGTCGGGCGGGGGCGGCGGCCGTTTCGCATTTGTTTTTGGATTTTTTAGCGTTTGTCGGGCGGCGCCCATGGCCTTTTCGCATTGGTCTTTGGATTATTCGGCGGTTGTCGGGCGGCGCCCGCGGCCGTTTCCCATTGGTTTTGCATTATTCGGCGGTTGCCGGGCGGTGCCCCCGGCCGTTTCGCATTGGTTTTTGATTATTCGGCGGTTGTCGGGCTGCCCCAAGGCAGTTTCTGATTTGTTGTTGATTATTTGGCGGTTGTCGGGCGGCGCCCGTGGCCATGTCTTAATATTGGTTTGATTATTCGGCGGTTCCCGGGCAGCGCTCTCGGCCGTTTCGCATTGGTTGTAGATGATTTTTCGGCGGCTATCGGGCGGCGCCCATGGCCGATTCGCATTTGTTTTTGATTATTCGGCGGTTGTCGGGCGGCGCCCATGGCCGTTTCCGACGGGTTTTTGGCACTTCGGCGGTTATCGGGCGGCGCCCATGGCCGTTTCGCATTGGTTGTTGATGATTCGGAGGTTGTCGGGCGGCGCCATGGCCGTTGCCGATGGTTTTTGATTATTCTGCGTTTGTCGGGCGGCGCCCTCCTGGCAGTTTCGCGTTGGCTTGTGATTATTCGGCTGTTGGATGGCGTCGCCGTGGCCGTTTCGTATTGGTTTTTGATTATTCGGCTGTCGTCGGGCGGCGGCCATGGCCGTTCCCTAATCGTTTTCGGTTATTCGGCAGCGGCGCCCATGGCCGTTTTGTATTTTTTTTTTTTATTATTCTGTGATTATCGGGCGGTGCCCTGGCCTTTACCAACGCTTGGTATTTGTTTGTTCGGCGGTTGTCGGGCGGCGCCGTGGCCGTTTCCCATTGGTTTTTGATTATTCGGCGGTTGCCGGGCGGTGCCCGTGGCTGTTTCGTATTGGTTTTTGCTGATTCGGCGGTTGTCGGGCGGCGCCGTGGTCGTTCCCCATTGGTTTTTGATTATTCGGCGGTTGTCGGGCGGGGGTGGCGGCCGTTTCGCATTTGTTTTTGGATTTTTTGGCGTTTGTCGGGCGGCGCCCATGGCCTTTTCGCATTGGTCTTTTGATTATTCGGCGGTTGTCGGGCGGCGCCCGCGGCCGTTTCCCATTGGTTTTACATCATTCGGCGGTTGCCGGGCGGTGGCCTCGGCCGTTTCGTATTGGTTCTTGATTATTCGGCGGTTGTCGGGCTGCCCCAAGGCAGTTTCATCTGGCGGTTGTCGGGCGGCCCCCATGGCCGTTTCGTATTGTTTTTTTGATTATTCGGCGGTTGCCGGGCGGCGCCCCTGACCGTTTTCGATTGGTTTGTGATTATCCGCCGGTTGTCGAGTGGCCCCCCTGGCCGTTCCCCATTGGCCCTTCGTGCGCGTTCCTGATATTTGTGTTAATATGTTTTCTTGTGCGCGCGCGCGCAATTGTTCATCGGAGGCAGTGAGCGACCATGTTGCTTCATCTTCCGCGCACGGGTGCATTTTGAGTAGTCTTCGCACAGGCTTCTTCAACATCGTATGTATTCCGGCGCGCGCGGGATATGCGTTTTTTTTTCCGCGTCTTACGACCATGTAGAATAAACATCCCATGTAATTTTAACCCCACGTAATTGAAACCTCCTTGTAACGAAACAGATATTTGGGTTGAGGCGCGACAGGAGAATTTCAAGTGAATGGGGTTTCGTTGAAGGAGGCGCTGCGGTAACCAATTATTTGTTTGATAGTATTGGTTCATATATATATATACGTTTACATAAATAAATCATACATAGATAATTTACGATAGGCGGCGCGCATAAGGAGTTGATCTGAAGCATTTCACACAGTACCAGAGGACTAATCTGATTTTGCGACAGGACGAAACGGCAATACATATAAAGGATCACGACGGAGCCCAGAGAGCATCGAGGAATATTGACAAGCCTGACAGGACAGAGAAACACCGTGCGAGACGAGACGGACTGCGGTTGGAGCGCGGCTTACCGAGGCGGAGGATTCAGACATGCTCGAGGCTACAAAACGAAAGCGCTGAGTCTGATATTCCCTGGAGGTCTTCTACTGAAAACTAGAAGCCCGCTGTGAGTCCCTGCGTGCCTCTAAAGCCCCCTTCGGGAGCCCGCATAGCCTCTGCCCTCTCCTGTCCGCTTGCCTTCCTCCTTGCCTTTGCTCGTGCGTTTTCTCACCCCACCGCAGGCGAACGCTTGACGGCCCGCGAACCCGCGGGATAGAGGCATAGCATTGTGAAAAAGATCTTTGCGCAGTCAGAAATGGCTTGGTCGCGAAGTTGGCGGCATGTCGCTGGAATTTGTGCTACATTGAATGCAGCGTGCGTCAGCGCGGACATCCTCTGTGTCGTGTCGTGCGTAGAAGCGAAGATGAGGTTGGCATCGGCGGCGATTCGGTGTTCGGAGGAGGAGGAGGGGGTAAGAGGTAGGGGGTAGGCTACTTAACTTACCCGACTGTGGACATTTACCGCCGTACCATTCGTACCTACGGTGCTTCACTCATCCAAATCGTTTCGTCTCAGCCGCCCCTTGCTCCGCTTCATTTCGTCACTCTACGCACATGTTTGTTTTGTTTTTGCTATGCAAGCCTCCATGCTACGATCGAGTGGGTTCTATTCGGGTTGGAGGACATACTGGGGGAGTAGCTGGTGTGACATGGTAGATGACTTGCCTCACCATGCTGTGGCTGCCTGGCACACCCCAGTCGATAATATGCCACTGGGACACACCTGCTGAACAATGTGCAGGCTCGCCGTTTATTGCGTTACGCGTAGTTCGTCCACTCTAGTTCGGTACCTCCCTCTTCGGTTCAGGTATGAGGATCATGTCATCGATGATTTCCCCCCTCCGCAGCAGAGCCAGGCACCGTTACCCTGCGCCCTTTCGGGGCACTCTGCTTTTCCATTGTTGTTGGTCTCCCTATAACCGCATGGGCTTGCCGCCTAATTCGCCTTATTTTGAAACTGCGCTAAGTCGTTTCTTGCACCATCCGAACGCCCCAGCCATGACGTTTAAGCTTGCTTGGCGTAACAAATGAAAAGGAAGGAAAAGGATGAGGAGGAGGACGACGAGGAAAACGAGGAAGACGAGGAAAACGAGGAGGACGAGGAGAGGAGGCTGTGTAAGCCCAGGAGGAGCAGTCGGAGGGGGGGGTGAGGTCCGGTCGTTGTGGTTTTTCTTGACAGGGAGACCGCGGACATCGTCCTCTCCTGGGTGACTTTCGTGTTCCGCTCCCCGGCCAACCTGGCACTGGCCGCGGGCTTGGCGGCCGCCAGGGCGCGCGCGGCTTGCCGGCCCCTAGGTTGTCATCCCCCCCCCGTCGTGCTTCCTCGTCTTCCTCCCCTGTCTGGCAGGAAGGCCAGGAGGCAGTCTCGGCTGCTCCGGGCATGGGCATACGTGTGTGTGTGTGCGTGTGCGTGTGCGTGTGTGCGTGTGCGTGTGCGTGTGCGTGTGCGTGTGCGTGTGCGTGTGCGTGTGCGTGTGCGTGTGCGTGTGCGTGCGTGTGCGTGTGTGCGTGTGTGTGTGTGTGCGCGGGTGTGTGTGTGTGTGTGTGTGTGTGTGTGCCAGCGCCTCGTCGGAGGTCCGCAGCGAGCGGGAGCTGTTTGTCCCGTGCCCGTGGTTTCACTCGAAGCCGTGTGGGACTCGTCAGCACCCTCGCTCGTGAATTTTGGTTTCGCATCTTCTCTGCCAGAGAGCGTTGTCAAGTCTACAACTTGGGAACGCAGCACTTCGCTGGAACGCGGCACTTCGCTGCAAGACAAGCGTTGTCAAGTCTACAACTTGGGAAGGCCCAGGACGAGGACAAGCCGTTCCAGGGCGTCGTGGAACGCTCTCAGAGCGCTTCGGACCGTGTTGAGACGGCCACGGCGCCCGATTCGGGTGTTGCTAGAATTTGCTCGGGCGTGTCCCCCTACAGTTGAGGTTTCTCTTGTCTGTCTAGGCCGCAAGTATCACGATTGATGGTTTTCATAGCCAGAAACGGCCATCGGGTTTGATGCCCCCCACCCTGGCGTGAAAGTAAAGGTTAATCGACACCCTCGGGGGGCTCCCCAAACAGTCATCAACCCTTTTTGGGTGAGGCAAGGGTCACAAAAACAGCAATGCTATTTGATGGCCGACAAAGGGGGGTGGCCCGCTTGCGGGCCGAGTCCAAGACCACGCGTTCATGGGCGAACCCACTAGCACCGCTGGATAACATACGCATCAGGATCAAAAACACCATGGCAAGGAGGATGAGGAGGAGAGAGGAGGGCGGAGAGGATGAGGAGGATGGAGGAGGGGGAGAGAGGAAAAAGGAGAAGGAGGGAGGAGGAGAAAGAGGGGGGAGGGCGGATGCGGGAGGGGAATGGTGGCAGGAGCAGAGAAGGAGGAGATGAGAGGGAGAGGGCAGCTCGGCAGGAAGGTTTTGGTCGGCAGCAGCGGCGGCGTGTTCTCGCCTCGTGCGTGGCTCGTGCTCGAGTCCTCCTCCCTCTTCCGTCCTCCTATCTCCTCCTCCTCCCTCCTCCCTCCTCCCTCCTCCTCCCTCCTCCTCGTCTTCCTTCCTCCTCTGGGTGGTGGCGGCGCAGCCTGTTGCTCGGCGCCATCCACGCGGCCAGCTTCTGCTGGACCTCCTTCCAGAGGCCCGCTGGGACCTCGCCCACAACCACCGACTTCGCCGTCGTGGCGTCGATCGCCCTGGTCATAGTGCCGATGGACGACGGGCCGTACGCCGCCACAGCCTGCGCGAGATCGGCCACGCTCACTGTGAGGTTGCTACGCTTCACTGCCGCCGCCCACTTGAGAACGTCCTCCTCGAACTCACTCTCTTTCACGCTGAAACCCTTGCAGACCATCGCGAAGCCGGAACGTTTCTCAGTGAGCTCTCGTACGAATCTTTTGATATTGTTGCTGATCCCTATATGCTTGAATAGCGTCTTCATGTGGTCTTGCAGCGACGGCCAGTCCTCGAGGCTTCCACCGTAGGTGTCGAGCCAGCCGCTGCCATCTGCCATGCCGCTTGCGACCTCTGCCAACTGATCCGCCACGGTGCTGGCTGCGTTCTTGGCGTCCACAGCGCGCGACTTCGAGTGCGCCAGCATCGCCGCCTCAGCGGCTGGGATCCACGGCTGGACTTTGGCGGTGAACTCCTTGAATGCCTCGAAGCCGTGCCGTAGGAGGTGGCCGCCCTGGTCGTCTGAGCTCGTGCTCGGCACTACCCGCAGGGAAGATCCGAGCTCATGGCACGCATCCTCGATGGCCTGGTAGTCTGCTTCCTGCGAGGACGTCACCGCGATGAATTTCTCGAACTGCTCGATCTGCTGGAGGTGCGATCGCACGTCGGAGCCTTTCATGCTGATCGCCGCGTTGAGGTGGCACCTGTCGCCGACGTGGCTGATCGTCTTGTTCAGGAGATCTGCCACGCCCTCGAGCTGGAAGCCTGTCTGAAGCAGCATGCCCATCCGGGCCCCCCTCGCCACCTCGTCGACGTAGGTCACGTCGAAGAGCTCGATCTTCTTGAAGGGGATGGCTACAGCCTTTGCGATTTCATCGCGCTCAGCCGTGGTGCTGATGGAAAGCTGCTCGTTGATCTGGACTGCTGTTCACTGGCCTCTGCATTCAGCCTTATGGCGTGTAGTCTCTTGACAGGGGATCCTGGATCACGACTTGTTGTCATGCGACAGTGGTGCTAGGCCCCCCCGTCACTAGACTTTTTTTGTTTTTGGAGCCTGCGCGCGACCCGTAACCCAGCGGTGGATGTCCGCCAGGCCCCGACAATGCCGTCTGGCACTCGAATCATCTTTGATTTGGTTGAGCCAGTTCGAGCTCCAGCAACCTTGAAGCTGGCATGCCTCCGGCGTGAATGCGACGTGGTGTGATAGGGAATCGCACGAAAGCGCAACCATGCGCGAACATCACGTAGCACGTACCGCAGGATCAATTGCACACGTCATTTGCAAGTTTGTGTTGTTCGGTAGCTTGCGTGACATCTATATAGACGTGTATATTTACACATGTATATACGCATATACATATGTGCATATGTACACACATGTATATGTACATATAATGAGCAGGGGTCCTGGGGCCCCCAAAGTGCACTGATTTGCATTCTGGCCGTTTCGGGCCCAGCGAGGGGCGCCAAAAAACGTCAAAGGGGGCCGAGAGACGTCCAAGAAGGCACCAAGATGGCCCAAGAGCGCCCCAAGAGAGCCCAAGACCGCACAAGAGCGTTGTACCCAAGAGGGTCAAGTCGGCCAAGATGCCCTCAAAAGGACTCCCACGAGGCATCCAAGAGGCGAAAAGATATGTTTTTCTTGCTCACTGGGTTTAAGGTTGTTCGTGTTCTCGCTGTTTCGTGCTTCCGACGGTCCACGAGGCCCCAGCAATCAGCTCAAGACGGCCTGAGAGGCACCCGAAGAGTGCGCCACGACGGCGCAAGAGAGTCCCAAGACGGCCCAAGAGTGCCCCAAACCGGCCCGAGAGGCGCTCAAGATCGCCCAAGAGGGCCCCAAGACGGTTTTCAGACGGCCCCAAGAGGGGCCCAAGAGGGGGAACACGAACCGACAATTCGAGCCTTCCACCCCAAGAGGTTTTCAGGAGGCCCCAAGAGGCCCCCAACAGAGCCCAAGAGACCCCCTAGAGGCCCCCTAGAGGCCCCACGAGGCCCCAAAGGGACCCCGAAAGACGCTCCACGAGTATCCGTAGCCATTTTGGCTCCAGGTGGCTCTGACTGCAGCGCGCAAGCGCTCATCATAGTTGCCCACCATCACCATGCGGACCCTGCGACTAGGCCTCTAGGGCCCGAGGCGGCCCAAACTCCCCCCTCCCCCCGCGGTGCCCACTGTGTCCCTCGGGGTCCGGGACTCATTGCGGGCCTTCGGGGGGCTTTCGGAGGGCCCGAAGGCGCTGAGATAACCCCAAGATCGCCGCAAGACATCCCAAAAAGGCGTCCAAAACGGCCCAAGAAGCCCGCAGGATCGCCCCAAGACGTCCCACAGAGCCCTCCAAGACGGCCTCAGTAGGCGCCTGTGGATCCCAGTGCGCTCTGAGACAGTCCAAGAGGCCCACAAGACACCACTCCGCACCCCTCCCCGCTCCTCCCAGATCGTTCCCATTCCAGGCAAGTTTGCGCGAGGCGGTTGCGTCTCTGGCCGCGAGATCCTGCCAGTTAATACCTACATGTGCGACCACCCTTCGGGTGATACGGAGGTTGTGTGTGTGTGTGCGTTGTGAAGGGGGGAGGAAGGGGGGCCAACTGGAGCTACAACATAGCATTGCATCGCATAGCAGAGCATAACATTGCATAGCATTGCACAGCACAGCATAGAAGAGCATGGCGTAGCATAGCATAGCATAGCATAGCATAGCATAGCATCGCATATAATTGCGTACCATCGCATCACACAGTATGGCGTAGCATAGCATAGCATAGCATAGCATCGTATCGCATATACACAGAACGGCGCACCGGGCCCGGTGGCCGAGGGCCGGAACCTCGACCGCAAATGTGGGCCCCAGGGCCCGGGCCCGCCTCTGGGAAGCCTAAAATCGCCCCGGGGAGCCCTCAGACAGCAATCCCGGCGGCCCCAGACGGTCTCGAGGCACCCCCAAGACGCCGTCCAGGGGTCTTTGGCGACGCACGATGCGTTTTAAACTGCCCCGGAGCCATTTTGGCTCAAGCCATTTTGGCTCAGGCCATTCTGGCTCATGTCTGTTCGGTGCACCCCGCCAGTGCCCTTCCGCGCTGGGTGGCCGAAGCTCTCTGAGGCGTCCCCGAGGACTCACTGACTGCGACAGCCTCACGGCATGCATCAAAGGGACGATGATATGGGGAACATCTGCCAGGCGTTTTTTTCCGGCAGCTGTAAGTACGGCGACCGCTGCATCTTCTCTCACGCGTTCGTGCAGGCGGGCTCGAAGAGGGAGACCGTTGGCAGCAGGGCCGCCGCGGCGCTGGCCGCGTCGCAGGCGTCCGACATCTCCAGCGACCAGAGCTCCAGCTACGGCTACGGCCAGGGCAGCTCGCGGTCCTGGGCAGACCAATCGCAGGACACCTGGCCCGAGGTGCCCCGGCCGCCGTCGGCCCAAGCTCCCACCAGGGTTCGAGACGCGCTCCCCCCTGGCTTCGAGGTCAGCGGGTGGCAGCTCCCCAGCTTCGGCGACCGCCTCGGCTTCCCCGAGTTCATCCCCTCGGACGACGGCTCGCCGGAGCGCTCGCGGGGCTGGGGGCCGCAGAGCAAGTCGGCGCGGCGGCGCAGACAGCGGGAGCTCGGGGATCGGCGGGCCGAGTACGCGAAGGCGAACGCGAAGCGCTCGGACGAGGCGGTGGCCGCCGCCCTGGCCTTCCAGGCGCGGCCGTGCGAACGCTCGGCGCCGCACCTGGACTTCCCCCGGTCGGAGGAGGACTCGCCGGTGAGACCCCCCGCGCCCAGGCCGACCCCGCGGCCGGAGCAGAAGGAGAGGGCTTCGGATGGCGCGCGCGGCGCCACGGAGCAGGAGGACGAGGACGAGGACGAGGACGAGGACGTGCAGGAGCAGCTGCCCAGGCCTGCGTGCCCAGGAACGCGGAGGAACATACTCTCGCTGTGAGATTGGTGCCGCGCGGGGAGGCGCGCGCTCGTTTTTTGCTTGTGTAGTTCGATCACCGCGTGCCCGCGAGCAGGTACAATTCGCCGTTCTCTTTAGCCCCTCCTGCTGCGGACCTTGCCACGTTCCACAGCGGCGCGATTGCAGTTTTCAGAGTAGTTCCTTGCAAAGTTTGGCCGCTGTTGCCCTGGCCTGCCTTTGCTGCTAGAAGGCGGACTCGGCCACCTTTTAGGTATTCCCTTCTGAGGGCCGTCTGGTCGGGTTGCCCTTTTAATCACCCGTTCCCCACCAGCGACAGGACATCGAAGGCGAAGCCTCTCAATATATTTCAATGGATTTTCGGTCTCCCTGAGTAACTAGCGGTGGCAACCGCGTGGCCATGATGACCAGTGGCCATGAAGCGCGCGGCAACGACGAATGCTGACTAGTGGCCCTGAATCTCGCGGCAACGACATGCGTGCCGAAGCCTTCGATATATTGCGAAGGCCTTACGGCCGTTGCCGCCGACCCTGAAGATGACGAAAGACAACACGAGGGGGGGGCACGAGGAGGAGGAGGAGGAGGAGGAGGAGGAGGCGGAAGGGAGTAGGACGAGGAAGGGTGAAGGGGGAGGAGGAGGAGGCCTTATGGATGTTGGTTGGGATCTCGTGGTTGACCTCTCGGGGGCGTCTGGAAGGCAACTTGAAGCCTCTTGGGGGCCGTTGTGGGGCCTCTTGGGGCCTCTTTTGGGCCTCTTGGGGCTTCCGGAGGCCGTCTTCGGCGCATCTTGGGGGCGTCTTGGCGCCGCTCGGGGGCCTCTTGGGGCCTTTTGGGGGCCTCTTGGGGCTTCCCGGGGGCCTCTTAGGGCGGAAGTCTCGAATTCTCGGTTCCTCGTCCCCCTCTTGGCCGTTTCTTGGGCCCGTCTTGGGGCCCTATTGGGCCGTCTTGGGCGCCTCTTGGGCTGTCCTGGGGCCTTCTTGGGCCGTCTTGGGGCCCTCTTGTAGGCCTCTTGGTGCGCTCTTGGGGGCCTCTTGGGGGCCTCTTGGGCCGTCTTGGAGTGTCGACAAGCCGAAAAGGCGAGAAGGCCGAAATCATTCAAAAACCGATGTAAAATTTACGATTTTGGCTCCTTGGGCCCTCTTGGGAGTGCTCTTGGGGCTCTCCTGGAGCGTCTTGAGGGCCTCTTGGGCCGTCTTCGGGCCGTCTTGGGCGTATTGGGGCGATCGTTCGTCGAGTCGAGGCCCTCTTGTACCCTTTTGGGGGTGTCTTCTGGCGCTCTTGGCTCGTCTTGAAGCTTTTCTGAGCTCCGGGACCCCCCGGGGAGGATGCGTATCTGGGTGGCGACCCCCCCCGGCGACCCCCCCCGGCGACCCCCCCCCCCCTCTCCCGGCGGGGAGGGACTCAACTACGACGTTGCTCAATGTCGCTTTGGCTCGCGCGCTCAAGGAGACGGGGAACGACGAAGACGACGAGGGCCAACGGAGACGGAGACGACGGGGACACGACGGAGACGACGACGACGACGACGACGATGACGACGGTGATCCACGCAAGACGACGACACCGGGATGCGTCTTCCACACGCCGACAGGGTCGGCGGATTATTGCGAAGTGAGAAAAAAAACAAAAAAAGCCTGGCGAAGGACCCAACCATATGCAGTTGTCAGTACCGCAGCTGCGGGTTTCATCTTCAGTGGAACTCCCCATAGGACCACGGAACGTGTGAGGGGTGTGCCGAGATGGGTGCCACTGGGGCATTCGGTGAAGCTCCCTATGGGGACATGAAACACGCGCGGGGCGTGCCGACATGGGTGGCGGAAACGCATGTGAGGGCCGCCGCTGGGGCCTCCAGTGGAGCTCCCTTTGGGTCCCCGAAACATGATGCTGCTGCGGGGGGGGTGCCGGGATGGGTGGCGGAGACGCATGTAAGCGCCGCTACTGGGGCCTTCGGTGGAGCTCCCTATGGGGCCACGAAGCGCGTGAGGGGTGTACTGGGATGTGTGGCGGGGACGCATGTGGGCGCCGCCACTGGGGCCTTCGGTGCAGCTCCCTATGGGGCCACGAAACGTGTGAGGGGTGTGCCGAATTGGGTGCGGGTGGTGACGCATGCGGGCGGTGCCACTGGGGCCTTCGGTGGAGCTCCCTATGGGGCCACGAAACCTGTTGTTGTGAGGGGCGTGCCGGGATGGGTGGCGGGGACGCGTGTGAGCGCGGCCGCTGGGGCCTTCGGTGGAGCTCCCTATGGGGCCACGGAACGTGTGAGGGGTGTGCCGAATGGGGTGGGTGTGGGTGACGCATGTGAGCGCCGCCACTGGGGCCTCCGGTGGATGATGGGGCCACGAAACCTGTGACGGATGTGCCGAAATGGGTGTGCGGGACGCATGCGCATGTGAGCGCCGCCACTGGGGCCTTCGGTGGAGCTCCCTATGGGGCCACGAAACGTGTGAGGGGTGTGCCGAAATGGGTGTGCGGGACGCATGCGGGCGGCAGCACTGGGGCCTTCGGCGGAGCTCCCTATGGGGCCACGAAACGTGTGAGGGGTGTGCCGAATTGGGTGTGCGTGACGCATGCGGGCGGCAGCACTGGGCCTTCGGCAGCTCCTATGGGGCCACGAAACGTGTGAGGGGTGTGCCGAATTGGTGTGGTGTGACGCATGCGGGCGGCAGCACTGGGCCTTCGGCGGAGCTCCTATGGGGCCACGAAACGTGTGAGGGGTGTGCCGAATTGGGTGTGGGTGACGCATGCGGGCGGCAGCACTGGGGCCTTCGGCGGAGCTCCTATGGAGCCACGAAACGTGTGAGGGGTGTGCCGAATTGGGTGTGGTGACGCATGCGGGCGGCGGCACTGGGGCCTTCGGTGGAGCTCCCTATGGGGCCACGAAACGTGTGAGGGGTGTGCCGAATTGGGTGTGGGTGACGCATGCGGGCGGCGCACTGGGGCCTTCGGTGGAGCTCCCTATGGGGCCACGAAACGTGTGAGGGGTGTGCCGAATTGGGTGTGGCGTGACGCATGCGGGCGGCAGCACTGGGGCCTTCGGCGGAGCTCCCTATGGGGCCACGAAACGTGTGAGGGGTGTGCCGAATTGGGTGTGCGTGACGCATGCGGGCGGCAGCACTGGGGCCTTCGGCGGAGCTCCTATGGGGCCACGAAACGTGTGAGGGGTGTGCCGAATTGGTGTGGGTGACGCATGCGGGCGGCAGCACTGGGCCTTCGGCGGAGCTCCTATGGGGCCACGAAACGTGTGAGGGGTGTGCCGAATTGGGTGTGGGTGACGCATGCGGGCGGCAGCACTGGGGCCTTCGGCGGAGCTCCCTATGGGGCCACGAAACGTGTGAGGGGTGTGCCGAATTGGGTGTGGGTGACGCATGCGGGCGGCAGCACTGGGGCCTTCGGCGGAGCTGCTATGGGTCCACGACACGTGTGAGGGGTGTGCCGAATTGGGTGTGGGTGACGCATGCGGGCGGCAGCACTGGGGCCTTCGGCGGAGCTCCTATGGGGCCACGAAACGTGTGAGGGGTGTGCCGAATTGGGTGTGGGTGACGCATGCGGGCGGCAGCACTGGGGCCTTCGGCGGAGCTGCTATGGGCCCACGAAACGTGTGAGGGGTGTGCCGAATTGGGTGTGGGTGACGCATGCGGGCGGCAGCACTGGGGCCTTCGGCGGAGCACCCTATGGAGCTACGAAACGCTGTACTGGGTGGGTGAAACGCAGGGAAGAGGGGGAGGAGGGAGGAGGAGGGGGAGGAGGAGAGGAGGAGGAGGAGCGGAGGAGAGGAGACGCGGGCCACCGTCTCTTCAAAACGAGGACCCAACACCACAGGATGGCTCGGAAAAACTGCCCTGGAGGCCCCCTAGACGCCCCAAGAGGCCTTCAAGATGCCGCCCAAGAACGCCCCGAGAGGGCAAGTCGTTGATGTTCATTGTCTTTGTCAATGTTATTTTTGCAGCGCTAAAGCACCGCCCAGAAGCTCCCAAAACCGCTCCAAGACGGCCCAAGAGGCCCCCAAGAGGGCCCCAAGACGGCCCAAGAGAGCCCCGAGACGGCTCCAGAGCCGCCCAAGACGGCGCAAGAGGGTCCCAAGAAGGCCCCAAGAGGGGCCCAAGAGAGGGAACGCGAACTGAAAAATCAAGCTTTCCGCCCCAATATGCCCCCAAGAGGCCCCCAGGAAGTCCCCAACAGGCCCCAACAGGCCCCACGAGGCCCCCAAGAGTCCCCAAGAGGCCCCCAAGAAGCCCAAAACAGGCTCGAAGAGAGCCCCGAGACGGCCCAAGAGCCGCATCGCGCTATCCTTCGCTACGCGCTATCCTTCAAACTAGCTAGAACTTGAGCGCGCGCGAAGCGCGCGCGATGGTTCTTTATACGGCACCCAAAACGGCCTCATCCCTCTTCACATAACTATGTATCCGCGCCCCCGAGCCCACGACGCCTCGTCTCAAAACGCATCTGCGCTCCAGGGTCCACGATCATGTGTAAAGCACCATGGGTCCGCGCTTCCGAAGCCACAATCCCTAGCCAAAGGAATAATACATTATACAACGCCACTGATGCCACGTTTCCGAATAACGAACCATGGATCCGCGCTTCTGAGGCCACGAACACTTGTAACAACCTACATGTTCACCACTTCCGTAAGTTCCTGGGAGGCCCAGCGGAGTGACGCCCCTCGGGGACCCGAAAGGGACCTCGCCAGGTCCGCAGATGTCGCCGCTTTTGTAAGCTCCTGGGAGGTCCAGCCGAGTGACGTCCCACGCGAGCCCAGAAAAGGGCTCCCTGGGGGCTGCCAACTGCGAAACTGCTCTGCCTGGGTGCTACCACCTGCGCAGCTGATCGCCACTTTCGTGAGCTCCTGAGAGGCCGAGCGCTGTCACGTCCTACGGAGCCCCACGTGTGACCCCGCCCTGCCTGGGTGCTGCCAACTGCGCAACAGGCGCCACTTTCGTGCGCTACTCGGAGCCTCATCGGAGCGACGTCTTAGCAGGACCTAAATGGGACACCTGCCTGCTTGGGCTCTGCCCACTGCGCAACTGCCACCACTTTCGTCAGCTGCTGGGAGGTCCAGCGGAGCACTGGCAACCGCGCAACCGTCACTGCGGTCGGGGGGCCCAGGGCCGGCCCCCCGACCACAAATGGGGGTTCCGGAGCCTTTTGGGGCGCCCTGAGGCCCACAAGAGGCCACCAGAAAGCGCCGAGAGAGACCCTAGACGTTCCAAGAGCGACCCGAGACGCCCAAAGGTCGCTCCAAGACGCCCAAGATGGCCTCCAGACGGCCTAAGAAGCCCCCAGGACACCCCAAGATGCCCCCAAGAGGCCCCCCAAGAGAGCCCCAAGGGGCAAACATAGCTACATTCCTTTCGCAAAACGTATGTCTTTAGCGTACTGATTGTTTTCGCTGTCGTACCGTTCTTGACGACCTCAGAGGCCCCCGAGACCGCCCCAAGGCGGCCCAGGAGGCGCCCCAGAGGGCCCCCAGACGGCCCAAGAGAGCCCCAAGACGGTCCAAGAGGCGCCCAAGACAGCCCAAACGGGCACCCAAAG